GTCAAGCGAGTGATTTCACTTCTCTTTTCGACGAATTTTAGTTTGGTACTGAGTGCAAAAATACCATATCTATTGAAGTCCATAGTTTGCATTATGATTTCCTGAGTCAAAATATGGACTTGGTACATTTCCAGACGTTTCGCCGGCACTGTAGTTGGCATCGTCAGTTAGCTTTGCCATTCTTGGTACCGCACCACAACTTTTTCAGAGACAAAGAAAGCACATCCTTTGACTAATTATCTGCTAAACGGTTGTGGTGTGTTTCCTTCTGTCCTGGCTTATTCGCCTATCCTATATCCTTTGTTTTTGCCTACTCACTGAGATAAAACTTTATCACATTTTTAAATCCATTGAAATAAGCAGTCAATTTCTTTAATGAAATCTGTCTATGCCTTAAAAAGTCTTTCTGTCCAACTATTCATCAATCTAGATATTACTACTAATAGCACAGTTTCCATGTAATCAAGAGCTAAATTAAATATTTCCTGAAATGAGGCATTAGGCCCTAGCAAGGCTGCTTTTGATGTCACATTGTCGTGAATTTGAGATAATGAAGCCCAAGCGTCCGTTAGTTGATCAAAGAGATGGCACCATATCGGCCTCAATGTAAAACCGACATTCCAGGGTTTTGCCTCAGAACATTGAAGACTGTCCCAAGCCCAAGCTCAGGCGACTAGAGCTATCCGGACTTTGCTGAAATGTGAACAATCAATGCTTTTTGTGGCACTACTTTTATGCTTAAGGGTCAAGTGGGCCTTGTAGTGTCCAGAGTTGACATGAGGATGCTAAAATATGGCCAGCTTGCTGACGCTATGACTATAACAAAATACTTTTCCAGAGCTCATTTAGTACAAACAGATCATAAGTTCGTAATAATTCCATGAATACTTCTAAAGGCCGGGCCTTTACTGTAGGCTCCTTTTTTCAACTGGTCAAGTGCAACCTGGCATTTATTTTATTTTTTCCAAACTACCAAGCATATGGTTGCGAAGTCATACAAATTTCGCTGGGACAGTAGGTGACTTGAGTGTAGCTGAAACCCTCAAATTGACTCCTCCATAATAACTCATTTGAATTGAGCTTCTTGATATGACTATTAATTTATTGCAAATAATACAAAGCGACCCTTCACCATTTAAAGCTGCAATTTTAGACCTTTTCCTGGTGGCCTACATTTAGTCTGATTTCGTCGAATACAAATGGTCTGAGGCACTTAAGAATTTGAACCTTATGGTATATCGAAGTTGTTTGACCTTGTTTTAGCACCATGATCATATTGGTAGGAAGACTTAGAGGAACGCACCTATT